ATACATTTGAATCCCGCGACAATGCCGTTTTATTTATTTATCAATTTTAAATAAAACCAATTAACCAAATTATGAGAGAAAAATTTTGAAGATAGGAAATATTCTCATTTTTTTTAATGTTTTCATATGATAAAAACGAAAATATTGTAACAATATAAATTGACTAGCTGTAACCCACGGCTTTGCCCACGTAATCCGAGGGTATTGTGTGCACACTGGCCTGCCATATTGGAGTCTTAAGCTGATCTTAATTAAAAACTTACCAGTAAGTATCCACCTTTATATTATCACCATTAGCTTATTAGCGTCCTCGCTGCTGGGGCCGGGCCTATGCTCCGATAGAAGGAACCAAATAACGCGCATGTCTTCATAAAATAGTCCGGTTGCTCTTCTTTCCATTTAGTGCGCAGTAGAATCGCCACGCCTCGCAAAAAATTCAAACAAATGTTTTCTTTGAAATAAGTATTCTTTTAATGAAGTCGATTAAAAATTACACCGTCAATTTGTTTGACTCTAGATATTTGACTACTGTGCTAACTCTAGACTTTCAGATAAAGACTTTAATTTTAACAGTACTACTTAAAAACAAGGTTTAGCGTCCGAGTAAAATTACGCCAAATTTGCAATTTTAGTATTAGTCCATATTCATATTACACAAAGAATAAGCAAATCTATTACCTTCTAGGAGCAAATATTACTCCCGTAGAACTTCGTACTAGATTAACCTTTACTAAATCTCTGTTTAATAATATGAATTTTGACTTATACGAAGAGCAGCCTCAGCGTAAATTTACTCCAACGCTAAACCTTGTTCATAAGTAGCACTGTAAGAGTTTAAAACAGCCTGATGCTGTGCTTGTGCCAGATTCTACGCCCGATCGTCATAGACTGACAGTCAGCTAGTTCTTCCTTTCTCAATTCAGCATTTTCAGAGATTTTAATCTGTGATGCCAAATTAAATTCTTGTAATGGATATTCTGCCATCTCTTCAATTTGTAGGTATCGAATCTATATAGTTTCGTCCACTCACTATTTTTCTCGCCCAATTAATTACTTTACTCTGATACTTTGAATTTTTGATACTGTTTCCAATCCTAACTCATTTCAAGTACTTTTTGATTTTTAGTAATTCATACCGAAATACCGGCAGTATAGTAAATTTTTTGCTTACATAATTTAACGACCCTGGTTTATGTATTTAAGTAATAAATAATAAATATTAATAAAAAAATGTGTTCAAGCGCAAGTAGGACTCGTGCACGAAGCCTCTCGTACCATTATCCATTATAAATGCAAAAAAAAACACATTTGTTGTTTTCGAGTTAAATACATTTGGTCGACTATTACTCCTACATTTGTAAAGCCAATTTAGGTGTAATAGTTTTCCTATTCAATTCGTTATATATAAATACTTCTGGTGTAACTTAAGAGTTTTTAACAACAACCGTTTAGTTAGTAGAAAGGTTAGCCCTAATATTTTTGAAATACAAAAATCTAAATTCTGCTTTAAAAGTACAGTAGCGTCATCTAGTGATCAGTAGCGTCAGCTAAATGTAACGTTTAATTCTTTCGCGCTATTAATAATTCCCCATTAAATTATGTTATTGGAAAAACGTCAAAATTGAAAATGAAAGCTATTTTGTTTGATAAAAATCGAAATAAAATAAAATAACAACTACAAACGAAAATAAAAATCCCGTTTTAAAAGTACAGTGGCGCTATCTTGTGATCAGTAACGTCAGCTAAATGTGACATTATCAATTCGTTCCCGTAGTTCGTAAAATTGTAGAGTTCAAGCAAGCAAACAAACAAAATCTTTCAGCTTTATAATTAGTGTAGATGAAAATAAGTAACAAACAATTACGAGCAGTTTCAACGCCGGAATTTTTGACGCGTTTGTCGTGATGTCAAAGAACACGACTAGTGATATGACATTTTGAATCAATATGGATCTTGAGCGATTGATTTTATTATTCAATTACCCAAATCGTTGGTCGTTTGTCCCTGATACCCTGAGATGGGATCGCATCACCATCATCATCTCAGGGTGTCAGGGACCAAGTGGATTTTTTAAGCATAAGAATATAATAACATTTTTAATTATCATATAGTCTACCTAATTGGTGAAATAAAAATAAAAACCTTAAACATCATTTAAATTGTAATCTGTGAGTATTAACGACAAGTAGCATGGCTTTTGAATATTTTGAAGTTACCGCATATGTTAAAAACGAAAAATCCCTATTCTCTTGACCTACTCCAATGGCGCCCGGCCTCGATTTTGGGGTCGTAATTCGAAGCTGAACAACGCTGCATTATGGGAATATTTATTTGAATTTTCATTGTTACTAATTATTTAAAATTGTCTAATCAATAAAATGTTTATAATTTAACGGAAGATACAATATTATGATATTAAGTAAATATCATTAAGTAAATTGATAAATAATGTGACAAGTAAAGACTAATTAAAATTTAACGTCTAATGCTAAATTTAACGCCCTTAATTGAGCAGGACATTAAAACCGGCAAAAACCAGCCATAATTGGTGATTTTAATTAGGACAAGCAGACGAGAGCTCGCTCGTTAGTGAGGTGCTGTGTGCTAAACTCACTTACTGTGGCAGCAGAGAAAATATATATCGTAGTACGATGATTCTGGCTGCTAATGAAGTGACCTGAATACGACACTATTTCTGTCACTGCGTTTTAACGAAGAAACGCTGCATATATATAGTAAATTCATTAAATTTTTGATCAGATATTGATTTTATTTTCCTTTTCTATATTATCTATCTATACTAATATTATAAAGAGGAAAGATTTAATTGTATCTTTGCATTGGCTCTGAAACTACTGCACCGATTTTATAAATTCTTTCCAATTTTATAAAACTTACAGGTGACATAGATTAAAATTTACGAAGACGAAGTCGCGGGAAAACATAACCTAAATAAGTTCACTGTTAAAATACTTTAAGTCGATATTAGATCATTGGATGAGCGTAGAAAAAGCCTACAAACGAAGGAGAATAATGGTGTAAAATGACAAAAAATTCTGTGTAAAATTGGTGGAGAATGTACATATTATATAAGTAGAAACAATTGTATTAACGAGCCATTAAACGAGAAAATAATAACTATAAATTAAATATACTTAGATATTAACTAAAACACATGTTTAACAATGTAAATATCGCAATAATAATAACTGTGTTATTTATTCCGCACGGGTTCGTGTCACCAGTTTCTGAGGGTATACAAAACTAGTTCTTATTCGTACGATATAAAATTGTGTATCGTCTCTGTCATTTGACATTGAGAATGTTTAATGATATTTAGTGTCATTGGGCAGATTTTCATTTGTTTAATTGTTTCTTAGAAGGCTTCGTTATTTATTCTGTAATAACTCTTATTTAAAAATCAGAATCCGGTTGACATAATAATATAAATAGCATAGAAAAAGAACCATTTTTATTAACGTTCACATTTTTTAATATGGATTTTGAAAAAAGTCTTTTCGCATTTTTGAAAAGTGGAGCAAGATCGGCATATCAGTAGTTACGACGTAGATGAAGAATTGGGCATTGACCACAAAACAGTTTTTGGCGCATTTACATAATTTCAGTTAGTTAGATAATGGAAAAATAACAGCTACATTTTTTTTACTTCAATTTGAAAAGAAAAAGCTTTGATAACAGGCATTAAAGTTGAGGAGTGGGGTCTCGCTACGTCACAGTTTTGTAGAAAATGTACAAAAGCGTAACGTCACAGTTTAATAATTACGCAAAAAAATACGTATTTAATACATATTTTTCAACAATCTACCTGACGGACAAAAAAGTTTAATCACTATCGCTATTGTTGTGTGTGCTATATTTGTTCAACAATAAATTCATTTACTCTCTTTCTTATTCTTTCCTTTTTTTTATTATTGGGGATTTTGACTATATGCTAGATTTAATAGGGGTTTATGGTCCAGAAAAATTTGGGAAACGCTGGTTTACACCGACTCTTCATGGTATGTACCCTAGAACTCCCCTTGTATACGAATCGAAGTGTATGACATAACAAATGTGCGTCTTGACCTAAACAGAATACGGCGTATAAATAGCTGATGTCGATTTTAGTAGGGGAACGGAATTTTCAGGCCAAGGACGCAACGATGGAATCAAATAATTCGTTCATAATTCACTCTACAAATAAAATTTATTCATTGATATGCAAAGAAATTATGTATGTACCTAAATAAAAATTTAATGCTGTTCGTCTATAACAGCATCATCACTTGAGAATGGCTGGATCGGTTTGAGTATTTTTAAATGTTCAAAATAATACGAGTATGTAATGTTTTAAGTCTTAAAACAGAACATGGTTTTTATGATATTCAACAAATGTCATATAGCAAAATTTGAAAATATGGTGTTTAATTACTACCTTAACGTCACGTAAATAAACAGATAATCTCGATAGGATGTTATTGCATAACAAAATAATATATAAAACCAGCATTTACTTTGTTTATCAACAAAAAAAATTAAAAAATAATTGCGACTTCATTTTGACAGGCAACCCGGTTACAATCTTTTCTATTATGATATCTATTATAAAAAATAAATTTAATAACTACTGTGTTTCTTAGATTATAACATATTTGTTTTCTTTTTATTTTATAGTAAATTATTGTCACCGAGGCGTGTTACCTAATATGACTGGGTAGGTAGTGATAATGTGTTATGTTGATCTAAGAATAAATAAATACTCTACAATTATTAGCTACTTTCTCCGTCATGCTTATAAGACTCCGAGTAAGTGTGTGGCCCGCTCTAGTGGTGAAATTTAGAGAATAATAAATATATACCTACGTTACATATCCAGAAATGAAACGGACCGAGAATAACAGCAAAGATTTCTTTTTTTTTTCTTTCTTCAAAAAACAAAACAAAATCTTTAAAAAAAGATTAAATTATTCAAGAAACTCATTTACTATTTTGCGTTACAGGTACGAACGTTTGCTAAGGCGCGCGCGCACGGAAGACCTCAGCGAGATCTCGGGCATTGGGTGTCTTTACCAGAGCGGCGTAGATCGGCTCGGCAGACCGGTGGTCATCTTCATTGGCAAATGGTTCCCCATAGGAGACATTGATTTAGATAAGGTAACACAGAATGTAGATAACACGTTATATAAGCTTTATTGTAAGTGCTACATTAATATTATAATCAAAATGCACCCCCTTTTAATTTAATATACAATACTATATGCGTTTGTTTACGTGAGCTTATATCTATTAAAGTTTAACAGTACAAAGTTTAACCTTTTATGTATACACGTGTTATGATTTATGTCAACCAATTTTCAAAATACACTCTTGAATACTCTTGACCAATTAATTTCACTTAGATTTTCTTTTCATTTTTAATTACCCTGTGGGAGCGTGGCACCAGTGAGCCATCTACTCTAAATTACTATATAATTCTCCAGAGGATGGAGAAACTTTAATATACATTTTCTTTTCAAACGTTTCGAGTAAGATTTTGCCCTCAGTGCTGCAAGGAGGTCATTTTGAAATCTTTTTAAACGATCTTGGTATATCTCTCTGTGATTTTGGATTACCTCCTGAACAGTGTCTATCATGAGCTATTTATGTATTTCTACAAACCAGAGAGTAGTATAGTATTGATGACAAACCAGAGAACACCGCTTATTGAACGATATATAGCGTTCTGCATTCTTTGTATTTTGTCAATATTTGATGTGGAAGCACTACCCAAAATTTCAATTCCGTTATCGATATCGGCTTAGTGAAAACTTCGTAGATGAGGATTTTATTGTCTGTGCTCAATATGCTATTGCGACCCATAATCCAGTAAAAGTTTTTGAAACTAATATTGAGCTTTTGCCTCTTGGTCTTTATATCATATAAAGAAGGACCCAAGTCTTGCGACGGTCAAAATGAAGCCCCAGATATTTTGCGTAGTCTTGGTGTGGCAGGATAATATTTTCTAGTTTTAACGGTGATCAGTTACCTCTCCTCAGCTTAAAAGTAACTTGCACTTACTTGCTGTCGCTTGCTTTTATCCACCGATATTGTAACCATGTTATTATCATCGGTAAATGTCGCCGTTGTAACACCATTAACTTGCGGTCTGCTATATATATTGTGTACCAAATTCGTCCCAGAACAGACTCCAGCCTGGGACACTCCAGCTTTTATATGGTAAAACTTTTATTATTTGTCTGTATATTTGTCTTAAAGGGTTTAGCCGGATACGTATGACGAGTCGGCCCCCAAATGGGAATCGATATTGAAACTTATGTTTTAATATCGACTTGATGTTCAAACACGATTTATGTACTTTTCGCGACCGACTTCCGCTTTGACCTTGAGATAGAGAGCAAAATATCCGTATGCTTGACTATTACTGAATGTGATATATCTCTAAAGCTAATTAAGATAAAGAAGTGAAACTAACGCGAGGTGTTAGGTTACATTACAGAGTATATCACATATATTTTTTTATAATTTTTAGAATAAAAAATTACATTAAAAAAATAAAAATAAAAAAAATCATGTTTTTTTTCTGAGTTCTCTGTGACTTACAATCACGAAATTAATATATGTTATGCTCCTTTGTGTGCTCTATTACCCATAAAAATTGCGTGAAAAAAAAGTTGGTGCAACACAACGAAAAAAAATTATATGTGATTTCTGTCTTATGGTATAACCCTGTATTATAAGGTTTTCACATTACATCATTGTTTATTTTTTTCGAAATTTCACATCAACTGGTTTTAAACATAAGTAACTAGTCTTAAGAGATGGGATAATAGTTAAAAAAGAAATAAAAAAAAAACAGCCAGTGTTCAATACTTATTATTATTACTTTTTCGTGTCTATCAAAATACAAGAAACAAAATATTAATCATCGTCACTGTTGTAATTAATTACAATCGGAACACTTTGAGTCGCAAATAACTTAGTTAGGACTTCAGCAGGACGTACGATTTTGGACAAATATCATCCATATGATAGATAATAAATAATAGCTGCTACATGAGAACAGCATCCCACTATACGTTTGCCATTGGGGCAATCACAGCAATAACGAAGAATACTATTGTAGTCATTACCTTCGGAAATATAGTGAATGTAAATTCGATAGACTTTTCTATTTATATGTCTTGATTTTACTTCTGCTTTGATGATATTAGGTGCTGATTTCACATATTGTACTGAGAGATTATTTTGATCGTCCATTATTTCGGCCAAGTTAAATGCTGCACATTTAGAAGTAGAAGCTTTTTTGTTAATATATGGGATAAGTCGACACTTCTTACAAAAAATATCATTAACTATTACGATTTTATTCAAACAGTCACTAAACACTTTAGCTTCTTTTTCATTCTTTATAATTTTTTTATAACCAGGAATCTTACATAGGTACTTGTTACAATTTTTACACTTTCTCGACATTATTACTTAATAATGATTTGGTTCGAAAGTTAATAATTTGAAAATGCTGATACAAAATACCTATGACAGAATTTGAGTCCCAAACTGCCTTCTTGTGTAATACAAATGACTGCTACTTTAGCTAAACAAACGATGCAGTAAACAGCTCGATAACAAGTTCGAACTTGTTTGTTTATACACTCACACTACAAGGCGCGAATCACATATAATTTTTTTTCGTTGTGTTGCACCAACTTTTTTTTCACGCAATTTTTATGGGTGATAGAGCATACAAAGGAGCATAACATATATTAATTTCGTGATTGTAAGTCACAGAGAACTCAGAAAAAAAAACATGTTTTTTTTATTTTTATTTTTTTAATGTAATTTTTTATTCTAAAAATTATAAAAAAATATATGTGATATACTCTGTAATGTAACCTAACACCTCGCGTTAGTTTCACTTCTTTATCTTAATTAGCTTCAGAGATATATCACATTCAGTAATAGTCAAGCATACGGATATTTTGCTCTCTATCTCAAGGTCAAAGCGGAAGTCGGTCGCGAAAAGTACATAAATCGTGTTTGAACATCAAGTCTATATTAAAACATAAGTTTCAATATCGATTTCCATTTGGGGGCCGACTCGTCATACGTATCCGGCTAAACCCTTTTTTTAGAAAGATATGATTTTAATAACTAGAAGTTTTGGTGAAAAAGATTGCTTTTAAGTCCCTTGTGCCAAACCTTGTCGAATTATAATAATAATCATTTATTTACGTTTAAATAGGGTATACAAAAGATATGTAAAAATGTAATATAATTATCGCCTATTCAGCCATTAAAATAGCATGCAAATGTAGTAAATGAAGTCACTATAAGCACTGATCAATCCACCCCAAGCCATCGTTCAGTTTCCATAATCTATGGATTCATGCACAGAATCACAGAATGAAAGTTACGCTCAGCAAGCCAGTTACATAACTCTTTCTTGAATCTAAAAAAATATGTATTCTTTATAGATTCCGGAACTTGATTAAATATTGTTTGACGCATACAAATGCTTGTTATAGATTATTGTATGTCCATAAACATCGAAGAGCGATATTATTTCTCCTCCAGGCTTTTCCTAATCTTCTCGCATACTCTGTGTATCTGTTCTGTAGTAAAATGCTCCTGTCTGAAGCCAAACTGATGATCGGGGATTATTTTCTCTTTGTTCAAGGCAGCATGTGGTATAACAAAAAATTTTCAAATGCCTTCGATAGTACTGGAAGAAGACTAATAGGCCTATAAATACTTCATTCGTTTAGTTGACATTTAGTTGACCCACCTTGTGTAACATTATGATTTGAGACACTCCTTTCTCTAGGTGCTGAGCAAATGTAACAGGCTGGGTTTGAACACCTTTCCCTGAGGTGTTCAACTTGGAAACTTTATATTTTGAGGCCGGTTCACATGTTTGATAAATTTTCAAAGCGAGTAATTGGTTGGTGCTGTAGCGGATAATGTTTTATATATTTTGCAAAAAAAAATGATTTTCTAAAATACAAAGAACAAAATTCAATATCGAATCATGTTGGCCACCCTACGAACGAACGATTCAAAAATAATAAAAACGGCGTCATACGCCTTAGAAGTCGACCGTAACTTAGGTCGTATACAGCAAGCAAGATTTTAAAGAGCGAAACAAAAATAGAGTTACAGTCGTCGTATAACAAATCAAATTCATCATCTTAAGAGGGCGCGTACACTTTTGTTTTCATCCGGATTCACGCTCCCTGTTGGAAATTTCCACTATGTATAACTATAAGCACACACCAATTCACATGTACCACGTCGTGAATTATGCCTATGTGATCTATAGATAAGCAATGCCTGTGTTCTAACAGTAGAAAAGTTAATTGCCTTATATTAATGATAAAATGTGGTTGATTGTTCAGGCGCTGCTATACCTGATAAAGTTGCTGGACCCGATAGTGCGTGGTGACTACGTGATCGCTTACTTCCACACACTCGCCTCTGCTGCCAACCATCCGCCCTTCTCCTGGCTCAAGGAGGTCTACACCGTGCTGCCTTACAAGTCAGTCTGTTTTTTATTTAATTAGTTAATGTGTTGATTTGGTTCTGGCTACAACACAACTAAAGCTACAGAAAATATCATATTACATGATTACTTAGTTGACAATAAAGTTTATCCGCCGGGATAAATGGACTCTTGGATCGGAGAAAAAATCAATTTAACCCTGGAAATAAAAAATCTAAAGCAATGAGTCGCTTTTTTAAATTGTATTATCTTAAAATGCAACAATTCCAAATGGTTATTGGTATAAATTAACCTTAACCAAAGTAATAGCACAAAATACATTATTGTATTAATCCATTATCGTTATTTTTCAAAATCGAAAGTCAAATATTTATGACATTTTATTTTCGTTACAGATATAAGAAGAACCTGAAAGCGTTTTACATCGTTCATCCTACATTTTGGACAAAGGTAAAATTTTATTTTATGATACAATAGTGTTGTGTAATAGGCGTTTTAATCGGTAGTGTAAACAATGTTTTAGTCACGAGTCCAAAATTGTGATATATCTTCTTTAAAGTGAAATATAAAATTCAACTTGATACTAATTTAAAAAGTCAAAATTTTGAAATTTGTTGTCATAATAAAACGCAACTGACAGTTCACTTTATGTTGTCTATGTCTAAGTTTATTTTAAATTATTGCAGAATCCTAAATTTGCTCATTCATTGACTGTTAGGCGGACCAAAGATATGTTTATATTTTTACATTCAAATTCCTTGGGCGGGCAAAGTTTTCCGGGTCCACTAGTGAGTTATAAAGATAGTTTTTGTTACTTGTACGTTAGATGATGACGTGGTGGTTCACTACGTTTATGGCGCCAGCGATTAAGGCGAAGGTTCACAGTCTGCCCGGCGTTGAATATTTATACAGCGTGATGCCGCGCGACCAACTAGAACTTCCCGCCTTTATAACCGAGTATGACATGACGGTACGTATTTATTTATGTAATACAGAGTTATTTGAAAACACCAGGTACCTCGCAGGTAGGGAACGCTCGCTCGTTCTCGAGAGATCTCGGCCTTTTTAGCGAGACTGATCTCGGTCTAAAAATGGGCGAGATCTCGCGAGTTTTACGAGATTTGCACTCGAGCATAAAAATGACTTTACGAGATTTGCACTCGAGCATAAAAATGACTTATTCTTAATGCGAAAACGTGAATTTATACGAGTTAAATAAAGTCGAGCGTAAATTCATGTTGATATTAGCAGAGATGGTTTGGTGGTTTATTTCATTCTGTATTTGATTACATACATTAATAAAATTGTAGTACCTTGATGACTAACATAATCAAATCGATTTATCGCCCCTGCATAATAAAATTCATGAAAATTGTTAAAGCCGTTTCCAAGATTCAGATTATTTTACAGAAAACTCGTTTAAAAGTAGTAGATAAAAAAAATATGATTATGACAAACAATGTTAAATTCATAAAATTTTATTAATAATATCCGTCATAAAAATAAATGTCTATTTCATAATAGGTATTATTCCTAATTGTTTTTCTTATTTATTCAATTAAAGTGATTATTTGCAACAATAAACAAACAGAGTCAATCTCGCGAGATCTCGCGTGATTATATTCATAAACTCGAGAAATCTCGCCCAAGCCGCAATCGAGATTGCATTCCCTACGCAGGACTAGATATAAAACAGCACTCGTTCTGTGAGTTTAATAGAGTTTTGTAAGTCATCATCATCATCAGCCCTTTTACGTCCCCACTGCAGGGGCTCAGGCCTTCCTTATGGATGGTTAAGGAGGATGGGCCATGACCCTCCACGCTGGCCCAATGTGGATTGGAGGGTATTAACGACTGCAAAATGCAGCCGGGCCCAACGGCTTTACATGCCTTCCGAAACACGAAGTAGCTCGAGATAATAATTTTTTGGTCACCCATCCCGTGACCGACCCTTGCGAAAGTTGCTTAACAACAACGATTGCGGGCCGCGGCGCTTATCCTCTACTCCACCGAACTACTTGTAAGTAGCTACAGCCAATAATTAGCTCATTCTCCATAACCAACTCTCTTTCCTCTCCTCCTCCCCCCAAGCCATCGGCTCGCAACGCCCCTGGTACCAGGACTACCAGGGGCGTTGTATATTGTTGACATGACGTTGAATAATAAATTAAATCTTTTTTTTACTACTGTTTCAGATAAATGGTCTTCATTACTTCCAACCAGACACGAACAATACGTAAATGTCGTCCGTGGCCGCCGCGCTCTCTATGGTGACATTCCAGAGCATTAATAAATAACAATACATTATACTTTCTATCAACTCTTGTCAGCTTTGCTGTTCAAAATGAGTCTCAAAAACTACCATTGAAATTGTAATTACATAGTACTGGCAATATTTGATAAATTTTGTGGCGGTAATCGGTTAAAAGATTAGACCAGACAAAATTTTTAAAGATGCAATAAAAAGTAATAAAAAATGTCATCGTAGATAAATCGACCAATCGACTGTTACGCTGCGTAAAACGTGATTGGACGAGCTTTAATTAAAATGAAAGTCGATTCGAAAAGCGATTTGGGGCCGCCGTTGTTGAATTGAGTGAAATTTTTATTCGAACGAATGAACGCAATAAAATATTAATACTTAAAAAAATATTTTAATAAATCCTCTGTACGATGTTGTTAAATGATTTTGATGAAAAAAGTATTTTTTTAATGTTAATTTCGTATAGAAATTTCACTCGACTGTTTTTTGAGATTGTTGAATAAATATCATGTAAACTTAGTATTAGAGAAGCATTTTTATATTATTTTACTGTAACTTTAGCGCTTAAGTTTATATCAGACGTTTCATGTTCTCTTTTATTTATGTAAAACGGAATCTATAAAATGGTGTCTATTTTTATTTATATATCCATATATTAGAAGCTGTAATGGGTTCTTTTTTTTCTCTGAAATGCTAAATGTCTAAGCATATTCTATGATCTTATCTTAATTATTTTATTTTAGGACTGTACTTATGTTTTACGTACTTGAAAGAATATAAACCTGCGACAGGGTATTCGTTAGCGCCTAGAAGTTTATTTAAAAAAAAAATGTAATAATTCGTAATGAGTTCATATTAGTTCGTTAAGAAATTTTACGTGGGCCAAGCTATCCCGATGTTATCGTTCCAAACGGAGACAGTATGGTTTATAAAAAGGTGCTTGAATGCAAAAAAGATAAGATTTTTTTATTTTTACATTAGGTGTTCGGAAAATAAGCTTAATGTTAGATGGTTGTAAATATACGCTGTTGAATTTCTTATAGTTTGTCCGCTTGCGTCGTAGCGGAGAATACTTAAGTAAAATTTAATTAAAATGTATAAACATACATAACGTATTTTAATCAGGATGGTGACAGAATTGATTGGTAACATAACTTATTATATGTTCCATAGAAAAAGTAACTATAATATATATCACGAGCGAATGGATGGGACAAAAATACCGTCTGTATTTGAAAAAAAATAGTTTCTAATAGTTAAACACTCGTCCGTATTCTCGTGACGCTCCATTCCGTTTTCGGCCTTCCTAATCCCATCCGAATTTTATGACCCATGTATTGAGATAATGTGGAATGATGCATTTTGCATGTGTCACTAATAGCTAGACTGCGGTATTCTAATCATGGCCAGTAAGAAGCGGTAATTGCTACATTTTATGATGCCTGACAGCTACTGTCTACAAATATTATTATGATTTTGATCTTGTATCAGCATAATTCAGGGAAGTTGAGCTATAGAACCACTTTGAGTGTTATTTAACTTTGTTACAAAATGTCATAGCAGTATACTAAGCTTTTTATTACGTACTACCATACATAAAACATAATCGCCAAAAGAAACATGTAATTTACCACTGCCAGACCACCCGCTAATGCTAAAATTGGCGAGATTTGATATCAATAATCAATAACCCTTGTAGACTTCCTACATGGTACACGGTTGATAAGTATTCGCGTTTTGTACTTAATAATTATTATTAGCTGTTAATAACAATCGAAAGCACTTTCATGCTCTTATGCTTAGACGGTTGTGCAATGTAAGTGTTAGACCACAAATCCACAATTCGCAATATGAGCTAGAAACCATGGTACAAAATTACACTAATTAATATTGTTATGGTAAGTAACTGTATATTTTTTCTAATAAAGATAAACAAAACATTGTGCCACACCCATTTTACCCTCTCAGTGGTTTTTTTATGTAGAAAATGTTGATGCAATATAAAATGAGTGATTTGTACGATATAGATAATAAAAGAAATGTCATTATTGTAATAAAATATTTTAGTACAGTTACGTATCATATAAAGTACGTATGTTTACGTATCATATGAAGTACGTATCTATAAACAATAGTATATCAGGTTTTACCACAACTGTTATACTGGATTGATTTTGAATTCTATTTTCATTGATTCGAGACTTAAAATTAATTTAGCGTTTAACAGTTTTCTTTAACCTGATGCACTCTTACTTTGTAAATTTTTATCTCTAATAGATTTCAATGTTTTATAGTTTTCCAACATAATATTTTTATAATCTCGTTCGTACAATAGGGGAGTAGACAACTTTGTTTAAATATTTTAATTTTTTCGATATACACGTTATATATCTAAAAATAAATTTCCCGCGAATGCGGTGCTTCTGTCATAGTGTCGCTATGACGTTACGGCACTCTCAAACGAATATTGTTCTGTGTATACATAAGGTTGATTTTTTAAAGTTCTGATATAAGTAAGAAGGTCATGACGTCACTGTCACGTGACCGCAAACAAGCATAAAATATTAGTTTTTCATAATTGAGCAATATTATAAATATGATAAGCATAAAGGTGTGATTAACGGTAATATTATATTAAACACTACTAAAAAAAATAATAGGTATTTATTTTCGTTTATTGTCTACACCCGTGTTGAGTGCAATCCAGATAAAGATCTGTTATTTAGTGGACATAATGTGCATTAGTAAAAATATTATTAAAATGATATGAACAAGGCCTTAGATGTGTTAACTATTGTTATTTTATACTCATATAATATATTAAATAAAATATTGCGTGGCATTTTTTATTGCTGTTAACAGTTAATCTACAGACATCAGTGAAATTATCAAGTTCAACTAAATAATCTAGGTGTTATGTGACAAATGTGATCAAGCAAATGTTAGTTAAGTTTCATATTTTATTATTATTAAATAGATTGTTAAATAGGCTATGTACATATTTAACAAATAAAAGAATAAAATTATTAATTTACTACTATGAGACTTTTATTATGACCAATTTTCTTCACTGAGGAGTGAAAAGTCATTACTCATTGTCTTCGATTCATAATTATTCTCATTCTAGGTTTTATACTGTAATAAAAGTATTTCATCAAAATAACATGAGACTATTCTAATCCATTGTAATAGTCAGAGCAGTAAACCACTTTGTAATTGTTGACATAAATTATTCATGGTACCCTAGTGATCACAGAAGATCAAGTTTATTTTCATGTTAAAATGACTTGATGTTTTAAAAGAATGAGCTTATAAAATGCCAAGCTTAGAAGATATAGCTGGGCTGATGTCAGTACAGCAACTCCACAATGATCCTTAATTACCTCTATACATACTTACATTAACAAATCATAATTATTATGTCTAAGTAGATTGATAAATGGGATTGAAATAATAAGTTCTTTCTTTAATTAATTGAGTTCTAGTTGTAGTGATGCCGTAATGACATCAGCCCAGCAGCAAGCAGACTTCGTTATCACTGAAACTACATAACTTAGTTATTTGTCTGGGAGCCTGGTAGTATGATAGGGTATAAATTGAATATCAGATCTCACAAACCACAAAAATTTTTACACTGTCCAACTAATGTCCTGTGTGCCCCATAAAAATATATAAGTATGTAAAATATCAGTAAATTATAGATTTTATTACATTCAACAGCTAATATGTGATGTTGTCTTAAGATACATTTATTACTTTACAAACCATTCAATCTGCAGCATAGACGTAACATCTTCAAGACTACCACTGTTGCAAAGAGTATAAACTAAATTATATGTACCTATGTATGGTAATTATTTAATAAAACACAATGACTTAATTTATATACATATGTAATTTAAATACTCTTAGGGGTATGAAGACTGTTGACAATATTTACAACAAATTCGAGAGTTGGATATTTTTGAGCTGCAGACATCAAGGATACTTTTAATACTGTAAGGACATTAGAAAGCAAATAACCTGCAACTGCACCCAAGTAACATGGAATGGGCCACTTTTGCCAAGGTGTGTTCCAGTCTAATGGGATCACAACAGCACCTAACCAGGCACCGCACAATGTTAATAATGCATTATTGATGAGCATTTGGACAATTGTGTTCTTTGTATAACTTTTGATGCCAAACAACAGCTGCATAGATATTTCTACTCCACAATGGGCAATCAATGGAAACACTGCCAACAGAGTTATTAAAGCTGATAGCATAAGAGTCTCTTCATGACATTCCAGTATTGGAGCTCCAAACAAAATTATTCCAATAAAGAAACTAAACAACACAACAAGTAGAAAAACAAATGATTTCAATATATCAGAGACTGTACTTTTGTTTGCTTTATTTTTCTTCGTTTGTACTGCTTCACCAGTGGAACTCAGGTAGAATGATTTAAGTAGTTCTGCCAGGAATATTAAGACCAAAATATAGAAAGAAGATCCATTTCCCACAGAATAAAGAAGTCCTTTATACGATATAAAAGTAATGATACTGGGTAAATAGATACACGACAAAAGGCTTGAAACTGTTATTTTTCTCAGTTCATAGTGATTATTGAGAGTGAACATTTTTCAATTTTCTATACTTCCTGAATTTAGGTGATAAAATCAGAATCGAAACGAAATTCTACAATTTTAGATGTCAAGTAGATGACTTTGACTTTTTTTTATTTTCCAAAAAGGAAAAGAGTATAGCCCTGCAGCCTCTGATGTGACTTTGACTTTCTTTTATAGTGCCTTGCAATGAAGAAGTATTTAAAAAAAACGAAAGCACTAAAAAGCACCTCCATTAAATGGCGATTCTAGCAAAAGTTGATTTTTGCAGGAAACGAATGCACCAAAGACAGTCATTTCCGTTCTTTAACTAACATATAAAAAAACTGAAATTTGAAAAGTTCGAAACTCAGATATCAATACAAATACGAAAAAGTACAAATAGAATGTGAGTTGTTTATTGAGTTTTGAAAACTAATTTACTTTTATACATGAAAGAAAACCGGAAAGATTGTCATTGAGAAATCAAGAACGTATTGTAGCGACATCTAGTTTGATTTCGGGAACTAATGTTTTTAAGTTTTAAACTTTGCAAAGGAGATTTTTTTTGTAGTTTATTCCGAAAAAATCTAACCACTATAAATAAAATTTTCATAGTATCTAGACTCAATCCTTTATTTTTCATCAAATTTTCAGGCCTGAAAGTTCCCCCATTTTAGAGAATAAGTTAAAAAAATTGGTATGCTTTGCCTAGAAACAATGTTCAACTTTAGCTACACAAAATGCCTAATTTGTTGTTAATTGCCTATTTTGGGTATTACCTCAAAGCACCTTAAAATAACTTAGCGTACCTAGTAGACGAATCACATATCAATTTTGGGAAAATCGAATTCATAATTTGCTAAATATGTATTTATTATAATAAGCCACGCAGTGAATAGACTCAAACTGGGACTAATCTACTTTAAAGAGCTTCGATTAGTTTAAAATATCTCTGTATTTGACATTTAAATGTCTGAAATAACAATAATTAAAGACAAATAAAAATAATGATTCCACATAGTCCAAATAGATTAATTCATAGCATAGATTAGAACGTAACTTATATGGGGTTGCCATAGATTTTCTTAATGCACTTATGTGTTGCTACATAAATTATAAAATATCCACCAAATAATGTTCAAATCTTAAAAATAAAATAAAATGATGATGTTTACCCTCTATCGATTAATATATACTTTGTGCTTAGTTAGAAATAATTTGAATAAAGTGCCAGCCTCCATACAAAAGAAGGTTCCCTTTTCAGTTTTCATAATTTGATTAGTGAAAAGGTTGGGAAATGACTGTCCTTGATCCATTCGTTTCCTGCAAAAATTAACTTTTAGTTAAGTCGCCATCTAGTGTGGTGCTTTAAGTGCTTTATTTTTTCTTAAAATACTTCCTCATTAGTTCATTCAAACTAGGGGAGCGATTCCGAAAAAATCCGAACAAAAATTCGAATTCACTCATGTGTCCGAATTCACGTCATTTGGTGTAAAAATTCTATTAATAATTTTTTTTTTGTATAAAAATACAAAACAAAATAAATTGACTATACCTGTCTCAAATATTCTATTATTGGTGGAGATGATTTGATTATTACCGATGAGGAAGTATTAAAAAAAATTTGTTCCCGAAATCAAACGAGATGTCGCTACGGTACGTTCTTAATTTCTCCATGACAACCTTTCCGGTTTTCTTTCATATTTAAAAGTAAATTAGTTTTCAAAACTCAATAAACAACCCATTTTCTATTTGTACTTTTTCGTATTTGTATTGATGTCTAAGTTACGAACTTTTCAAATTTCGGTTTTTTAATATGTTAGTTAATAGGAACGGAAATGACTGTCTTTGGTCCATTAGTTTCCTACAAAATCAATTTTTGCTAGAATCGCCATCTAGTGGAGGAGCTGTTTTAGTGCTTTCGTTTTTTTTAAGTAATTAAATGCCGCCGCGTATTATGCCGCCTTTTAATGTGAATTCGGACACCTGAATGAGGCAGAATTGCAAGGCAGGTCACAACATAACACGACACAAAAATGTGTTTCCGTCATAATAGCTCATCAAAAGACCTTTATTTTTATGTTGGTGTGACTAATATAGTTACGTTCAAATTGGTTCAAATCTTGGAATCAAATGCAAAAACATATCTATAAAACTGTATGTATCTGGGTTTTTTAAATATATTACAATATCCAAAACTAAATATAAGAATGTAATTCAAGTGTTCAATCTATTCAAGAAAGTATAAAACTCATCAATGTTTAAGTCAAAGGTGAAAACTCCCTAGATCTGAAATGTCGTTTAAGATATTTTTTTTGTTTACTTCACCTGAGGTTTTGGTAACTTTACTTACGATTAGCTATTTTGTTAAAAAAATATTTAAATCATTCATAATTTCTTAATAGGAATTTTTATTTTTGTGTTTATGGCAACTCAAAATGTCATTGTGAAATTCTATGTGATGTAGTAAATTTTAGTGTGAAGTTTTATCAAACGTAATCGATATGACGACACGAACTTTATAAATGAAAGGTACCCTTGCCATAGCCACCAGTCGAAGCTAGTTGAAGAGAAGTCTGACAGACGTTCGGCTTCAGTGCGGGCCAACGTTATTCTCCAAACGCGAATTCAATACACTATCCCGAATTTTCTAACTCGTGTTGTGAAAAGTGTTACCAAGAATTACATAAAATGCCTTGTCCATTTATGGGATCACTCAACCAAGCCTTCGTAAGAAATTACGGAGGGGCTCTGTTGAAACAATACGCAAACTATTGCCCCGTTGTGTCTCGAGGCTTTCGATCTCTCGGAAATGATGAGACGAAATGCCCCTTCATCAAAGAGAATGCCATCATTGCTGAAGCTCCTAAGGAAATGTCTGAAGATATAGCGGAGAATCTTCTGCCATACAAGTATGAGAAATTTTTCAATGATCAAATCAGTGCTAAGAAGAAGGATTATTCATACCGTGTATTCAGGAAAGTGTCTCGTTTGGCCGCCGATGGAGCATATCCTCAAGCCTTAGAGGGTGCTGAGAATCGCCGCGTCACCGTATGGTGTGCTAATGACTACCTTGGCGCTTCTCGCCACCCTGTAGTCCAGGATGCTGCTATTAATGCTATTAAATCATATGGCACTGGTGCTGGTGGTACTCGCAACATCGCTGGAAACTCACAAATGACTGAAAAACTAGAGGCTGAAATAGCACAACTACATAAGAAACCTGCTGCCCTGATTTTCAGTTCTTGTTTTGTAGCAAATGATGCAACTTTATCTACACTGGCAAAAATTTTACCTGGATGTATTGTTTATTCTGATGCTGGAAACCATGCGTCAATGATTCAAGGTATTCGTAATAGTAGAGCACCTAAATACATATTTAGGCACAATGATCCCAGCCACCTTAGGCAACTCTTATCAGAATCTCCTAAAGGTGTACCAAAACTGGTTGTTTTTGAAACTGTTCATTCAATGAGTGGTGCTATATGTCCTTTAGAGGAAATGTGCAATATAGCCCATGAATATGGTGCTTTAACCTTTGTGGACGAAGTCCATGCAGTAGGGTTGTATGGGAAGCATGGTGCAGGCATTGGCGAAGAGAGAGGTATCCAAAACTTAATAGATGTAGTGTCGGGAACCTTGGGGAAAGCTTACGGAAATGTGGGTGGCTACATTGCTGGTTCTTCACTTCTAGTAGACACTATAAGGTCATTGGCGCCTGGTTTTATTTTTACTACAGCTCTACCTCCTCCAGTGCTAGCAGGCTCTTTAGCTGCTATTAGATTACTTGCCAGTGAAGAAGGGAGGAATTTGAGAACAAAGCATCAAGCTATTGTAAGATACTTGAAACTGTCACTTCTCGTCGCGGGACTCCCGCAAATGCCATCAGTAAGTCACATAGTACCTGTACCTATAAAGGGAGCGGATAAAGTGGCACTGGTCGCCGAATCCTTAATGAAGAGAGGCCATTATGTGCAGGCGATCAACTATCCAACAGTGGCGCGAGGTGAAGAACGCCTGCGGTTCGCCCCAGGTCCCTATCACACGCCCGAAATGATCGACAGCCTTATCACTGCTCTTATTGAAGCATTCCATGAAAATAATATAACTTTTGATGAGTTCATGATCAATGGCACTTGCAGAGAATGCAGTATGGAATACAAGGTCGACATCGCATATGAGGAACCATACAAATACCCAATGCAAGTAGCCTAATTCACTTGTAACCCTGAGAAGAAGGTCATGACATTGAATTTAGATTGCAAAGCATCAAAAAATATTTAAGAAAATGTTACCTATATGTCGTATAGTTTATTTGCGTTTTTCATTATATATTTATGGTTCTGGTTCATGTTAGGGAAATTAAAATCTTTTCAGCAAATTATTTTTTTTATTTAATCCCAGTATTTTATGACGCCATCCCAGCCCGCAGTTAGAAGGCGACTAGGCTCATGTGGATGCCATAAAGCTGATATGCAAACTCCATCGTGAGCTTTCCACTTCTTATAAAGTTTCGTCGTTTTCCAATCCCAGATGTAACACTTGCCATCAGCGTCACCCGACACCAAATAACTGCAACAATCGAAAAAATATTCATGTTAACCGACACTGCAAAATCTATGTTTACATATGTCGGTTGTTTATACATGTGCATATGCCACCAAGATTGAGATGTATAGAACCATAGGTTGTTGACTCAAAGTTCTACATGGTGGGTAAATTATTTAGTAAAAATAAATATTCATCGTTGTGAAATAGTGCTCCAATCATTCGGTCACTTAATATCTCAAACAGTTACAGGTTGATTGACACTATCACCAGCTTTTAAGCAAAAAAAAAATACATATGGCAGAATGTTATCCCGATTAATAATCACAGTGCCCATTTTTTGTGATAATTAAATCCATTTCCTTAGTCGACTTTTACCAATCTTGATAGTGACAAAACTACATATCAACTGGTCAGATTTAAAAATAACCTGTTTAAGAACTTTGACCCCGTCAAACGTATTTGTTACCCAACTGAGAAAAAATAATTGTTAAGACTTCAACATTGGATATCGTATTTCCTTATGACAATAATTACAAACCTTGCAAGTAATTACTATACTTAAAACGGAAATCTGCATTTTCGCGTCGACATCACGCGATAATAGTAATCATAACAGATTCTATAGATTCTACCTCTTTTCAATCTACTCGTTAGCCGTGCAGGTCCGATGGGATGATGGATTCCGGATGCATTTCGGAGTACGCTTACACTTAACGAATAAATCTTTATGATACATTCAACACTTACGGCAAGTTGCATAAACTTCCATTAGGGTTAATGTCAATTTGTATGAGTAATGTCGCTTTAAAGTAATGAAAAATTTAATGGACGTTTGTGCAACTGGCTGTTACCCTTGAAGCAGACACGGTGTTTTTGTAATAAAAACAATACAGTCTAGAACGGCTTACGTTACTACATAGTTACATGACCTACAGACGTGACTTTCGATAAAAATAGTCACGAATAGCTATATGTTATCATGTGTCGTATATTATATAGTATGTTGTGTAACAATGCTACACTAAAGCGAGATATTAAAACGCGCTTTAATTAATATTTAATTATGAGATCGGAATCTGGAGATCCGCATACTTTCAAATAATATCTTGGATCCCTGAAGAACCATTTAGCAGTATAAAATTCCTCTTTAATGTCAATTCCATTAAGCACTATGGAGCATACCTATATACCTACTGCCCATCAAAATTTCGCGTAAAAACTCAACATCTATATCTAACGGTTCCCAAAGATGAATGGCTTCGAACCTTCTAACAAAACTTTACAATATCGTGACGCACGTCTTAGTTGTCTTAGACATAAAGAGGGAATAAATGTTAGTAAAGTTCTAGTCAAGTATGTACCTCGAGGATCTGTAATGACTATTTAATGTGGTTCTGTTTATTAAACCATAATTAGAAAAATGTATATTACAGTGGCGAATCGCCCATGAGGGCCCACTCATTGTTGGTTTGTGAATCGCAACTAGTAGTTTGGAAAATACTGATCTAATAAATTTATATGTATGTATTTCCTTCGCACACTAACACACGCCATAAATAAATAAGTAGTATGCCTATAAAAGTTAAGAAGGGGAACACGAATGACAAAATAATGTCTGCCATCCGTTGTTTCATTTTAAACTCGTACCATGCGGTGTGATATCGCCTTTGATTCAAAGATCAAGTCCAAGGTTGCACAAATCCGCTTAGAAAACTTAATAAATTCGATTGATGTATGAAAAATACAAATTACAAAATGATGAATCGGATAAACCAAGCGGAATCGTAACAGGGTCGGTTAGTTTCTTTGAGTTAAGTGAAGCCTTAATTCCTGTTGCATAAAGCTGAAATATGTCATACAAAAGTGCATCGTAAAGTAATACGCTACGCTAGACCGGTAAACCACAATATCCTTCTTTATAGAGAAAATTTTATAAATTCACGTTTAAAATGTGAGAAAACGTTAAGAATTATGATGTAGTTTTAGCGTTTTTAATAACAGTATATTTGAACGTTATTGCTTTGTTAATACAAAACGCTGAAAGTCTGTGATTTTTGGTACACACGCCCTCTTAATTACTGTTTTATCCGACTTCAAAAAGGAGGAGTATTCGATGTTTTGTATCCAAATTACAAAACTTTTTTTACTTAAGTATTTAGAAATAACCCTATAGGTACCAGTTTTATTTATAATTCGGATCAGCAACGGTATCATCATTTTATCGATAGTGGGATAGTGATGTCACCGATTCTTTAATGAAAGGACATATATAAGGACATATGTAAACAAAACCCCATATTTGGCTATAATTATATCAACATTATATATTTATCTATGTATATTGCTATAAAATTTAATAAGATAAATAAAATTTTAATAATTAACAAAAGAGCAAAACGAATGAAAAAAAATAATTATTTTTAATTATTTTAAAAAAGGAGAAAAAAAAATGGTTACTTTTATTCTACTAGCTTAGCTTAGCTACTCCAACAGGTATACTTACTGAGCAACTAAATTTACTTTGATTTAGTCGACATTGGTTTCAATCAAAATAAACTTTAAATGTGCTGTGTCGAAGGTCATTAAATGCCATAAAATTGAGGTACCAGCTGGTTTTGAGACATAAAAAGGAAAAAAACACAAAACACCATACATAACTCAATCGGTTGGCGATAAAATAAATTGCAATCGATTCGAGTACTATACTATCCTATATATTCCGTGTCGATACATAGATAATGTTTGTGATAAAGATAGTATAATCGTATCATCACTTTGTAATATCACGTGGAATCAAAGTTTAATAATGTAGTTGTATGACTAGCGCGTAACTAACATTGCTTTCGATTATGTTGACGATGGATTGTTTTATTTTGTTTTCTAAAGCAAATCATAAATTTAACGTTTTACCTGGGAACCTTTCATCCAAGTATTTTCCTAGGAATTTTGCTAATACCCAAGCCTGTTATAGGTATATCTAAAAGCATAATTGTCATAAGACTTTTTTTTAATATTTAAGCATATCTACTATTGTCTACTACAGAGTTATACTTATATTTAAACCTAGTCGGTTCAGTAAAATTTATTGTTGATAATATAAAGTCACTTATTGATTTATAAATTTATTTAAATATTCGTCACTCTGTATGAAGTTTAATGACATTCTGTACACATATGGAAGGGCCTATATTTAAGTTTTTATCTTAAATATCCCTTTCCATATTATATTCGGCGAAAAAATTCAAAGAACAGCTCGATGAAGCTTGAAATGAGCAATTCTTTATCCAGCCGATGACTGATTTAAGCGAAAGTAGCTTGCCTTATGCAATACCTGACATAAGGCCTGCCTCTTGGTGGAGGGAGTTGGGAATAAAAACTGAAATAACGTACACCGCGCTATCAACGGCTCTCAACGTTATGTAGTGTCAATGGATTTACTTGAAGCCTTTACGCAAGATTGGATTTTAATATACACATTATATAAATATACTAGCTGTTTTCACACGACTTTGTCTTCGTATATTATAGCCTATGTCACCGGCGCCTGATACTGTTGGTGAAAGAATTTTTAAAATCAAGGCAAAATATAAACAGTGAAATCTTTCCTCTTTATAATATTAGCATAGATTTATGTAAAGACAGTCGCTTACTCTTAAAAATATGTGCATATAAAACACTGCAGTTGTCTCGTCTCTGTCAACAAAATTTAGTCGTTTATTCGCAACATAAAGACGTCGCCATACATGTTCTATTGATCCATATCATAATGCTTACTTATAAATAACTAAGACATTACAATCACATATCAAAACTTTTCATAAAAGGAAGAGTGTTATTTTTCTTTTTTTTTTTTACTTTGATTATAACACCATACGGCATGACCAGAATTATAAACAGTCACTCCTTCTGTGTACATACGTAACGTCACCACACGCGTCCAAACACTTCTATCACGTGTGCCGAATAAGCACTACCCGTGTTTCAATTAGTGTTTTTCAAAACATCCTATCATATCACGAGACTGCAATATCAAAATATTTGAATAATGTGTATATACCGAGACCGATTGATTTATTTGGGTATATGTTGGGTACCTACAGCGGCCGCGTAAGACATAAATATGATCGGAAAATAAATTTATTTTCTACTGAATAACTTTTTCAATAAAAAATGAGTCTAATCATAAAAAATCAAACAGCAGCAAACTTCAAAATATGAAATTAAAATTAAGTAACCCGGCGTTCGATGATATACTCACATATTCATTTAAATCATACAAAAGTAGTCTTACAGTGATTTAAAATTTGAAATTCAAGAAAGTTCAAGTGATATGTCACACGAAAGGGCATGATGGAATATTTCAAAACATATTAGTATTCATGATTCATAAATTCTTATTTATAATGAAAAACATATATAAAAAGTATTGGTCCTACTCGCTCTTCGAAGGTTTCTTTTTATTATTTATTATCACATTTTTATTAACACATTTTAAATATAAAACGATCGGATATTTTTGCAACCCTAATGTAGGCCGCGCAAGCAGCAGTATTTCCATAAATTCGGAACACAAAACCTCGGTCTACATTCGATGATTTAATCATAAATAAACATAATCCTAATAACAACAAAGATAATTTATTCTATAGCAATTTCAATTAGCACGCTATATCGAATTGATTATATATTTTAAGTGCAACGATTTCACTATCGAAACACCTTTTTACTTGTGCTCCTCTTTTATCGTACATAGAAAAAAAAACATTTTAATAAAAGGTTCCATCTTAGGACACAATAAAAACATTTTTAACTTAAGTTGGAAGATATATATATGTAAAGGAAAGAGAGGAGATAAGCAAAAAGTATGTTAATTGTAATAGTAATTAGGTTTAATCGTAACAATTAAAATAGTAAATTTTCTGGTTTTGGTTGTTTTGTTTTTCAGTAATGGAATAGTTGAATGGAATGAAAACACTACAATCCTTGATATTTCTTTGATGCACAACAGTTATGTAACTTAG